ACACACAAACACACACACACACACACGCACAAAGACACACACATACAAACACACACAAACACACACACTCACACACAAACACACACACACAAACACACACAAACACACACATACACACCTCACACACACACACACATACACACACGTTCATGCTTATTAAATAAGAACACCCAACACATAAAACCCCACATTTAAGTCAGGTTGGACGAATAATACATTACATATTTTACACACCACTGGCTATAAATATAATTTTGTGGTTTCATAAATATAACAGTGGACTTATTCAGGATTCAATAGAAAGACTTCAAAAATTCGATATTTCACAATAATACATGTATAACAATCACATGACCTTGAAACTGTCTAGAAGAAGCTAAAATTAGCCACACACACTCACACTCTCGCCTACTATTTTATGCGTATGCGAATGATTAAGTCAGCAACAGAGAAATATACATATTATGTCATAGTACTTCAGTTCGTCCGCGTTTAAAAAAATAAATTTATACGAGTACATAAATCCCTGAACACAGAGGATCTCTTCCACCTTGGCAAAAGTGGCAGACTTTATAGTTTTCAGAAAATATTAATTGACGTCACTGAGTACGACTCTAATAGAACGATAATCCGTATGAGTCATTTTACCATCCAAAAAAAAGAAAAAAAAGAATAAAGACAGAAAAAAGACAGAAAAAGAAAAGAAAAAAAACAGTAAAAGAAAAAACAGTAAAAGAAAAAAAACAGTAAAAGAAAGAGACGAAAACTTGCCTCGACTACAGATGTTGCCTCGACTACCGATGTTTTATTAAAAAAAGAGAGAAAAAGTGGGTAGATCTAGAGGTGACTTACACACAATTATTGGCTTTGTCCCTGACAAACATTACATGTACTGAAATTCTACATTGTGTTACGAAATGGAGGAATCAGACGCTCATCAAATTTTGGGCATATTATGGAGTTATTAGAGTCGTCTAAAAGCGTGGTTATTTATCTTGCTTCTGATGGAAAAAAAAATACCCGTCTATCTTGAACCGAAGTTGAGATGATTAATTTGCAGTTGAAGGAGGTGGGG